GTTCTGTAACTAATTGGAAATGGCTAGAAAATGGCCTTCTGGGACATTTTTTTTCTTGCCTTCTTCCAGAAAGGAAGGATTTATATCTCAACTCTGACACACAGCTCGCGCCTTGGGCCTCCTCATGAATGAGACTTTCAGGAAGGAGGGGGCGGGGGGGCAGGACGGGACTGCGCTTAGCAGCCAGAGTTTAGGACCAGAAAAGAACATCACCTTTTAAATAGTAACAAAATAAAACAAAACAAAAGCAAAAACACCAAAGACCCCTGGGTAACAGTTTTGGCATAACAGTATCTAACAACACCACGCTTAGGAGTATAAAGCGATACCCCCAAAGGAGACAGGGAAGTTCAGGGACACAGCATCCCTCTGGGCGGGCAGAGTGCTCTGGGAGTCTCCCCTTTCGCACAGAAAAGCACGGCTGAGGGTGAAGTCGTGCTGACTTTCAAAGAACAGGTCTGGTTTGGCCCAAGGGCAACCTAAAATAAAAGAAGAGATTGAATTTTATTTGAGGGGAAGAAACTAAAATACTGAACAGTACGATTTTCTTATGGAAATGAACAAGTTGCTATGAATGCCACAGCTGAGAGCTGGCACCGTGGGCATCACTTAGGGCTGCCATGCTTTGCTTATGTGATAAAGTTGACTCACTTAAGATGAGACCAGCGACTTCAGGCACATTCGGCTACACGAGGCTGGCAGGGAGTTTATGCTGATTTCCCTCACACGTGAGAACCCTCAACTGGAAAGAGCACCAAGCCCAGGGTCCCTTCTCTCCAATGAGGACAGCGAAACCTCAGAGACTGTGTGTGTCCACCGTGACCCGACTTAGAGAACCGACATCAAGGAGGTGAGGTTGTTCTATGCTTATTTAACATCAGATCCTAAGCTCACCTCAGGCCTCCCCTGCGGCTGCCTGTACCCCAGGCTCCTTTGAATCCAGTGTTTGATGCTGTGGACACAGGCTGGCCAGCTTCTGCAGATCCTCTGAAAGACCGCTCCTAAGATCCTCATTGCTTCTTAGAAATTCTCTTACCGCTTCCAGGCGATTTAAGATCTGCAGAAAGAAACCACACAATGGACAGTCAGAGAATCTGATGGGCTCGGGATTCAAGTGAAATGTCCCAGCTCCAAGTCGGGCTCCTGCTCACGTGTCCACCGAGAGACAGAAACCTTGGCTACAGCCACCTGCCCACAGACAAACCAAACCAAACCCTTTAAAACAAAGCATCCTGTACCTATACGTGTATTACTGTTAAATATATACATCCATACATATAGAGATATACAGGGTGTCCCAAAAATGTATACACACTTGAACAGCTCAATGTTGAAAGCGAAATGGATTTTAATAAACACTGCCTCTATAATTATTCAGTGTGTGTACATTTTTTGGGACGCCCTATGTATGTGTATGTGTCTGTGCATGTATATTTAATAGGAATACATGCGCAGGTAAAAACTTCAAGATGAGCACAGGGTACAAGGTAAATGATGGGTCCCCTCCCAAACCTCTGTGCTCAGTCACCTCGTTCCTCCCCAGTGACCACAGTGAAGCGTCTTCCAGAGATATTCTCTGCATTTCCGCGTGGGCACGTGCACATATTGTACACACATTTAAAAACATACAAATGGTAGCGGACTAGACACTGTTCTTCAACGGATCTTTCCTACCTCAGATTAGAAAGAGTGCCCCCGTTATATTTTTTAATGGCTGAATATTATTTCAGTTTTTGATGTTTCACATTTTAATGTTTTATTTCACACCTTCTGTTAAGACCAATAATGCTGTATATGTGCCAATAATGCAGTTTTAATTCTGATGGGGTTTTCTGTTTTATTCATACCTTTTGCCAAAACTTCCATCTACTGAGGTTGTACCAATTTAAACTCCCACCAGCAACACACTTCCAGACAAACTAATACCAGCACTCGCAGAACAGCAGCCTGGAAGTGTACCAAGGGCTTATTCCAGGACCCCCTCGCTGGTCACTGTGCTTGTGAGAAAGGTGAGAGTGACTTGTATTTTGGGGTATGATGAAGTTTTGTTGTTGTTAATCCCCATTGGAGAATATTCTTCCATTGATTTTTAGTGAGAGTGGAAGAGAGAGGGAAAGACAGAGAGAAATACTGATGTGAGAGAGACACACCGATTGGTTGCCTCCTGCACTAGCCCCGACCAGGGCGCGGGCCGGGGAGGAGCCTGCAACCAAAGTATGTGCTCTTGATCGGAATTGAACCCGGGACCCTTCGGTCCACAGGCTGACACTCTATCCACTGAGCCAAACCGGCCAGGGCTGATGAAGTTTTTTATTTTTATTTTTTTAAAAAAATATTTTTAATTGATTTTTTACAGAGAGGAAGGGAGAGGGATAGAGAGTTAGAAACATCGATGAGAGAGAAACATCGACCAGCTGCCTCCTGCACACCCCCTACTGGGGATGTGCCCACAACCAAGGTACATGACCTTGACCGGAATCGAACCTGGGACCCTTGAGTCCGTAGGCCGATGCTCTATCCACTGAGCCAAACCAGTCAGGGCTGATGAAGTTTTTTAAATGGGGAACTCCAACCCCAAGCTAAGTCAGGGAGATCTAAATCTAATGAAGAAACGTGGTGGAGTGCCCTACCCCTAGTAGGAAGGTGGTCCTTAAAGTTTAGGATGCACATGATTGATTCCCATGCAGGTCTGGGGGGTGGGGGCACTCAGCAAGCACTCAGGTGACTGTGATGCCAGCGAATAAAACAGCCAGAGACGCGGGATGATGTCCGCCGGGGACAGAAGTCAGGGCTGTGGCTTGTCGCCCAGATGCACAGCGGGCAGGGAGGGCCGGGGAGGAGGTTAGGAAGCACGTGGGGACGCCCTGCAGCTGGAGCTGTTTATGACCCGGCTGGAAACAAGCCCGCAGCTCCTGAAGGACACCTGGGCTTTAAAGGATCAATCTGGAAACCATAAACACGGAAAATGAGGATCACACCAGTTCCCCTTCCCCAGCACACAGGACGCCGTGGGCACCGCACCGCGAGCGCTCACTGCCGGTGCCTGGTGCTCTGGAAGCCCCCCCCCCCCGCCCCCTGGGGCCCTTCCTGCAGAGCCGGGGACACGCTGGCTGGGTCTGTGCGCCACACACGCTCTGCGGAGCGGGGCCCTCGCCGGGGTTGTTGAGATCAGTGATGAATTTCGAGAACACGCAAGTTCTGCCCCTGTTTTTTTAGCCACTTACTGCGCTCAATGTTCTTCAGCTGCATTTTAAACTCCCAGGTCTGAACAGAGCAGGGAGGGCCAGCGGGGCTAGGCGAGGGGCGCTGGGGTGGCAGCTGGCCCTTGGTGGCCACACGCCACACACGTCCCCAGGGAGCTGGCCGGCTGCTGCTCCCCGCGGCTCTGAAGCAGAGCGCAACTTATAAGCACGGTCACACACACACAGTGTATTCCAGGGGGGCCCCTTTGATAACGTTAGATATCATTTCGGCTCGTTGATCGAACAGGAAAGAACGGACATGACGAGCTCTCTGCCATGAGCTCCATGAGGCATTCTGGGAACCGTCACACTAAATTACCACCATGAGCCATTCTTCCTCAACTTGGCTTTCCACCGACTCCCACTCTCTTACCGAATACCAGAAACAGGTCTTGTTAAATACTTACAGAAAAAGTCCTGTGCTCATAATATAATCACCGTATTCCTTCATTCCTGGATGCATGTGTTGCTGTTTTTTCCTATTTTAACATCTCAAATGAGAATGCATCTTACCACTGAGTGTCTTACAATAAATTGGCAGCATTTTTTTTCTGTCTTAGAAGTAACGGAATCCATGTTGTGTCTTACAATGGATGGCATCTTAGAGCCACTGAAATGCGGGCTATCGCATCATCTGCCTTTGGAGACTGACCCTGGAGAACACGGATAACCATATCTGGGACTGAACTGCCAAACAAGGTCAAGTTCCACACATCGTGGAAAGCCAACCTTCAACTTCTTAGAGATAACATGCCAATCAATCTGAATTTACATTTTGATCAATGGAAACAGCAAGAGAAATGCCATGGTCTACTGAACAAAAGCATGCGAAATGAGAACTTATCAACCCTATCTAGAGACTTGGGACCCAGAGAACAAGCCAATTAACCCCAATTTGCTCCTGGAAAACAGAGATAATGAGGGTTCGAAATGTCCCGTCGCCAGCTCTGCAGTGATACAAGATGCAGCGAGGCATGAGAGGCACAGGCCCAGAGCGAGGGCACCCACGCCGGCAGCCTTCCACCCCACAGAGCCCGCTCCTGGGGGCTGTGATAAAGTGAGGGCAGGTTCCCTTCCAGCGCGCAGCTCACACGGACTCCTGGCTTGAGTGTGGTGCTGCTGGTGTGTTTTGCTCTTTGTTACACAAACGGGAAAGAACTGCAGCTCCCTCAAGAGGGAAGAGGGGACTCGGGTGGCCTCTGGAAGCAGCAGCAGGAAGGGAAGCGGGGCTGGCTCTATGCCTTTTAAAATAAAGCAAGATGAAGCCCATGGACTTAGAACACAGAAGACTTAACAGTCGTATTCATCACTTTAAACACCTATGGTGTGCCAGGGAGGGCACCACTCACTCTTCCTACAATCAATAAACGGATCCTCAGGTGAGGATTTAAAAAAACAACAAAGAACACCTGTCGGCTCCCTACCACTTCCTGGGAATAAGGTCCAACCCCTGGGTGAAGCACAGAAAATCTTTCAAAATATGGCTTCAACCTACCTGACCACCTCACATCTGATCATGCCTCCTCCCAGGCTCACTTTGTCACTGTGCAGGCCCAAGCTATTCTTTCTTTTTAAAAAATATTGATTTCAGAGAGAGGAAGGGAGAGGGAAAGACAGAGAAACATCCATGATGAGAGAAAATGATGGATCGGCTGCCACCTGCATGCCCCCTACTGGGGATCAGGCCCACAACACGGGCACATGCCCTGACTGGCAATTGAACTGTGACCTCCTGGTTCATAGGTCGACACTCAGCAACTGAGCCACGCCGGCCGGGCCCAAGCTGCTTTCATGCCTTGACAGGTGCTGTTCCTTCTGACGAGAACGCCCTTCTTCTCTTGCCCATTTGTCAAACTCTGAGCTGATTCTGTGAGTCCCAGCTCAACAGCACCTTCTCAGCAAAGCCCTTTTTTCACAACCCCACCCCCACCTATAGAGACTCTCTAGAGCCGCTGTTCAGAGTTCTGTGGCAGCCTTACCATGTGGTTCCACTCTATGGCACATATCAGGCACTGAAATGTGTGCTGACGAAGTGAAAAGAACTGTTTAAAGGTAATATTCATCTGTGCCCAAAGGGGATTCATTTCTGGAAATTACTTGTCTTATAAATCAGAAACGTGGCTGGGAATACCTTACGAGGAGCTACTCTTCCTCCCTGCTGTCTCCGTTTTGTTCACTCACACAGAGGATACAGTAATTTTTATTTTTGTTTACCTCTTCTGGCAACACCTCTTGCTCTTTTGCTTGAAGATAAATCTCTTGAAGTTTTTCCTTTAGAAATTCCGTTTCGATTTCATGGACTTGGCTCTCACTCAGGTAAATGCCTGCTTCATATTCACACCCGTCTCGATGATCTTCCTCGGGGATGAGGACAGCCCAGTCAGATGTCAGCAGCTGTTGGAATCCCGAACAAACGTATGAACTGATTGCATGAAAAAGATGTTCCACTGGATGACTTGAAGCATTTATAATGAATTATCACTGACTGGACCCATTTTAATAACATCCTGTGACCACAGAAAAGCTTCCTAGCCCAGTACAATTCTAGATTTCATATCAACATGTTTTACCCTGTTGATACGCTAAAATTTCACTTAAACCTAATAAACTTCAAATTCTAAATGAGTGACTGTGGCTACTTTTCCCCCTTAGTTCTTTAAAAAAAATTTTTTTTTTATTGATTTCAGAGAGGAAGGGAGAGGGAGAAATGGAAACATTGATCGGCTGCCTCCTGAACACCCCCTACTGGGGATCGAGCTCACAACCCGGGCATGTGCCCTTGACCGGAATCGAACCCGGGACCCTTCAGTCCACAGGCCGACGCCTTATCCACTGGGCCAAACCAGCTAGGGCTCCCCTTAGTTCTTTTTTTTAAAAATATATATATTGATTTTTTACAGAGAGGGAGAGGGATAGAGAGTTAGAAACATCGATGAGAGAGAAGCATTGATCAGCTGCCTTCTGCACACCCCTTACTGGGAATGAGCCTGCAACCAAGGTACATGCCCTTGACTGGAATCGAACCTGGGACCCTTCAGTCCCCAGGCCAATGCTCTATACAGTAAGCCAAACCAGCTAGGGCTCCCTTTAGTTCTTTATGCCAGAAGTGTTCAACCTAATCTTTACCTCTTCTATTCTGGAGTACGCCTCCACAATCTCTGGGACATTATGGAATTCATTCAGAAAATTTTGGATCTTCATCTGGAAATCTCGAAGCCACATAGAAGATACCTTCATCTCTGAAGAGTGCATGATATCGTTACGACACTTAATCACCTACAGAAAGACAGAAAAAGGTAAAAGGCTTCAAAGTCAAACAGTGGGGTAAACTGACATTTCTGTAGTTTCAAAGAAAGTTGCAGCCCAGCCAGCGTGGCTCAGTGGTTGAGCGTCCACCTATGAACCAGGAGGTCACGGTTCCATTCCCGGCCAGGGCACATGCCCGGGTTGTGGGCTCGATCCCCAGTGTGTGGCATGCAGGAGGCAGCCGATCTGTGGTTCTCTCTCTCCCTCTCCCTCCCTCCCTCCCTCTCTCTGAAATCAATAAAAAGAACAAAACATATTAAAAAAAAAAAAGTTGCAGAAAGGCTTTTTGTTATGTTCAACCCCCTGCCACTTAAGTAATAAATTCATCAGGGAAAGAAATACAAACAAGCTTACAACTATCCTTAGTCCTTGAAATCTTGTGACTGGCTGGGCTGTCTCTTACCATCCCCCACATCCCTTAGCTGAAAACCACCCGCCAAAGAGCAAGAGTATTGGCTAGCGGCTCTGCGCACACCCAAGGCTAAAGCAGAAAATGCAAAAAGCCTTTAACTATCGCTGGAACCCCAGGAAGCTGGGCCAAGGGAGCTTTTTGTTGCAGAAACCATGATGAAAGACCACCTTTAGCTTGTGTTTTAAGACAGATGGTGCTGTGTAATCATATGTTCATTAATGCACGGCAAGTCTTCCACATCTTTGTTAAGAGAGAGCACAGGGGTCAACTTCGCACTGCGATCGTTTTTGTCTCTACTGATGTCATAGAGGCTTCTCAGTCCTTTTAGCCGCTGGCAACCTAGCAGAATATACATGCATTTTCTCTACGTGTTATAAATACTCCATTCAAATGTACTCTCTTCAATGCCCCTCAGAGTAATAACTATGTAGAGCTGTTCTCTGGTGAAAGAGAGAATTCTGTCTAAATCTCCAAGGAGATCTGACATAGTGATCTATTCTGGCCTTTATTCAGTAGTGTTCCTATTTTCTCCAGTTCTATGTACCTTGGTCTTGTCAATTACATTTTTAAAAGTTTTTTAAAAATACTTTTACTGATTTCAGAGAGAAGGAAGAGGGAGAGAGAGACAGAAACATCCATAATGAGAGAGAATCATGGATCGACTGCGTCCTGCACGCCCCACAGAGGGGATGGAGCCCGAAACCGGGGCCTGTGCCCTGACCAGGAATCGAACTGTGACCTCCTGGTTCAAAGGTCAACACTCAACCACTGAGCCACACTGGCCGGGCTTGCCAATGAAATTTAGAAGGGTAGGACTCAAATGCTGTCATACCATGAACAGAATGATGCATTGCTCTGCACACATAGTTTTTTTTTTATATATATTTTATTGATTTTTTACAGAGAGGAAGGGAGAGAGAGAGAGAGTTAGAAAGATCGATGAGAGAGAAACACTGATCAGCCGCCTCCTGCACATCTCCCACTGGGGATGTGCCCACAACCAAGGTACATGCCCTTGACCGGAATCGAACCCGGGATCCTTCAGTCCGCAGGCCGACGCTCTATCCACTGAGCCAGACCGGTTTCGGCCACACATAGTTTTTAACACCTGGCTTGGTGGCGAAAGGTACAGCAGCGAGCTGCCAGGAAGCGTTCATTGGGAAGAACAGGAGGCCAGTCTCCTGACTGCATTTGCACGGGAGATCCTGGACGTCACAGAAGGTGACGCATGTGAGCCCCACTAGCCTGCCGAGCGGTGCCAGCTCTGACGCTAAGTCTAGGTTTCTGGGCACGTCGGTGTTTGGGGAGGGGCTGTGGGCTGCGCCTGCGCCTGCGCGCTGCTTCAGCATCACCGGGTGTTTCTCAGCGGGCTCCACACGACATACGTGACTGACTCCCACTGTAGGGACTGCAATCGGACAGCTCTTACCTCTGTGACTTTCTTTCGATCAACCATGAAGTGATCGCAGGAGTTGATGAGGTTTAGAAGAGCCACGGCATCACATTCCTCGGGTCCTGCTTTGTCTGCCAGTCCGCGGGGCATGAAGGCCTGTGGGAGGGAGAGGCGAGGGGCACCTGAGTTTCCTCCAGGCCCGTGAGCTACTGGGGCCAATGTCGCGTGTCTGTTTCCCGAATTGACTGCAATTCTCTCATGTACCTCGAAGTGTGTTGCAAGAATTAAACGAGTTAATGCGAGTAAAGCACTTGCTTGGCGCCTGGCACGTGCCAATAAACAGGCCTTAAACGCGGGTGATTACCCTGCTGACGGTGCGGGCGGGTCGGGCCTGCAGAGTTCCAGATGGGGCTCCGGGCTGCAGGCACTAGATGACAGCAGAAGGGCCTGTTCTAGCAGGATCTTGCCTTTTACAGCATTTTCTGGCACAAACCCCCCCAAATGGTGCTATAGCAAGGCTGGGGCACATTTCTTGCCTGAAATCTTGCCAAATTTACATCTGAAGGCAACAACTTTACCAAGCTAAGCAGCTCGGAGTACGTGCCTGCCAAGGGACTGGAAAAGATGACACATGAGAAACTCCGTGCGATGAGAACTCTAAATAAAGAGTTCCCTGGAAAACAAACACATTTCAGTAGGCAAGCGACAGCACTGCCTCCTACAGGGCTGCCCGGGGGGAGAGTCAGGGCCATGTTCCTGATGGCGGGGATCCTACACCTGAGCCTCATGTCATTAAGAAAAAAAGCCGTCTACCCTAAATGGCTCCTATCACAAGGTACGGTGGCCAGTACCATCCCAGTCTTTCTATATCTTCACAGCCACCGACACGCCAGCCTCTGAAAGAAGCCTGTTCCGGATGCTACACAGGCTAACAGAGAAATCAGCTAGAGCAGCACAAGCGAATTCCAAGAAAAGGAAGGAGAAACTCTGCTTGTCGCTCCAGCTACTGCTGAGGAAAAGAGCAAGTTAGAGGAGCCTTAGCTGCCTCAAGACCAGGTATGGCTTTCTTTCCCACGACAAGGCATGTTCTGGCTGGCATTTTCTCGCCCGTGTGAACCCGCCTCTTGCACAATGGCATTTTATTCTAGTGATTATTCCCTTTCTCTAGAAACAGAAGCCGACAGGGGGGTTCTACTGCCTCTGAAAGCCGTTTCTTAAAACTATGTCGCATACCATGTGCTCCATGTGTTAGACGCAGCTCTGTGAAGCACGCCTATTGCCTCTCACTGCCGCCTGCTGTGTCTGCACTGAGGAGGAGGAGGAGGAGGTGAGGGTGGAGAAATAAACAACGGCCAGACCACGCTGGGCATTCTTGGCTCTGGAAAGGAGTCTGACATGCATTCCAAGGGCATCAGAAAGCCACCCACGGGCTTTAGGCAAGGGAATAAAAAGGGGAGGGCGAGAGTGTGACGCAGAGATGGAGAGAAGGAGGATTTCATAACGACTGTGCAGGTACAAAGAGGGTAGTGAGAGTTCGGGAAGAGAGGAAGCAAGAATGATTGGAGCCCTGGCCAGTGTGGCTCAGTTGGCTAGAGCATTCATCCCATATAATGAAGGGTGGCAGGTTCAACCCGTGGTCAGGGCACGTACAGAAGGCAACCAATCGATGTTCTCTGTGACATCGATCTTTCTCTCTCTCTCTCTCTCTTTTTCTCCTCTCTAAAACTGGTGACCTCTTGGTTCATGTGTTGATGTTGTTCAACCACTCAGCCACCCCGGCCCAGCAATATTTCCTTTTTCTAACTGTCAAATAAGATTCCATTGTACAGACACACACATACACACACACACACACACATATATATATATATATACATATATACACACACACAATCTTCTTTATTCATTCATCTATTGATAGACACCTCAGCTGCTTCTCTCTCTCTTTTTAAAATATATTTTATTGATTTTTTACAGAGAGGAAGGGAGAGGGATACTTAGAAACATCAATGAGAGAGAAACATCCATCGATCAGCTGCCTCCTGCACACCCCCCACTGGGGATGTGCCCGCAACCAAGGTACATGCCCTTGACCGGAATCGAACCTGGGACCCTTCAGTCCGCAGGCCGACGCTTTATCCACTGAGCCAAACCGGTTAGGGCTCAGCTGCTTCTCTATCTTGGCTGTTACTAGTAATGCTGGAATGAACCTAGGAGTGTATATATCTTTTTGAATTAGTGCTTCTGTTTTCTTCTTGCCATTTGTGACAACATGGATGGACCTAGAGGGTATTATGCTAAGTGAAATAAGTCAGAGAAAGACAAATACCATATGATCTCACTTACATGTTGCATCTAGAAAAACAAATGAATAAACAAAACAAAATAGAAAGACTCATATAGAGAACAAGCTGATGGTTGCCAAAAGGGGTGGGGGGCGGGGAGTGGGGGAAAACAAATAAATCAATAAATAGTGCTCATTAAAAAAAAGAAAAGAAAAGAAAAACGGAAAGTGAAACCAGTCAGCTTCCTGGGAGATTGTTCCTCTCCGCAGAAGCAGACGATGGTGCCATCAGGGCTGGCGCTGGGCCAGGCCAGTTCAGAGAAGGAGAAAAAAGGAGGAGGGGGTTAGAAAGAATATGAACTAGAACGTGTGTAGGTGACAGCAACGCCAAGTGGCATAAACAGGTGGCCTGTGCTTCCAGAGAATTCCGAGGGTATAAAAACAGCAGCAGAGACCAAACGGGTGAGGGACCGTCACAGTAAAAGATGGAGTTTTAAGGTGTTTTCCTGTCTAGGTAAACGGAGAAGTTGGCTTAGAAAAAAATGGGGCAGAGGGTGCAGGTGTGTGGGTTTACTGGACCATGACAGCCAACAGGCTGGGGTGCTGATACAGTTCAAGTTCATTTTTGGGGTTAGGGAACAGAGGCTAGCCCCGCGGCACTTCACCGCAGCTGAGCGGGGACTGATTTCTGCGTCCCAGGCACCGAGCCTGTGCCCGCTGCTCGCTGGCAAGGAGGCTGCCTGCGCCTCCCCACCCCCTCCACGGCTTCTGGCAAACATCAAAAAGGCAACAACAACAACAAAAATTCCCCACTTGGCCCAATTAGTACGTCAAACTGCCAAAATCTAAAAACAACTCTCATGGAATCCTTCCATCTGGCTGCCTCCCCCAGCTCCGAAGTTTCATTCCCTAGACGGGCACTGAAAGTCCTTCATGGGGTAGCCTTCTCTTGCCTTCGCTCACTTGGCCGTCCTCATGGTACCCGAGAACCAAGATGAGTATCTGAGCCGCTTCCCTCAAAACCGCATGTCATGTTGCCCCCTCGGCGCCTGTGCCCGTGACCCTCGCTCTGCACCCTGTCCCAGCATCTCCCGTGCGGATCCTTCCTCCAGCTTCGCCAGCAGGAGTAGCGAACTCACGCCTCCAGGAAGCAGACAGGTAGCAGGAAGCCTCTGCTTCCCTAAGGGGGGTTGGGTCCGACAGCACAGCCCGGGGCCGCCCAGACACCAGCCCTGAGGTTACCCGCGGTGTCACCCCTCCCACCCGATCCGATCGCCCGCAGGTGCTTACCTTGGCCACCTCCCAGGCGTCCGAGGGCCAGCGGCCCGGCCGGCAGTTGCCCCAGTGGACGTCCCCGTTTCGGTTGGTGTGATGGTTCAGAATCTCCCGTTTCCACTCGGCGCACACCCGACACTGAGGCTGAAACTACAGGGGGCGGCGGGGAGGGAGAGGCATTTGGGCATCTGAGCCCCGCACCCAGGAGGGCACAGGACACTG